GCTGGATTTGAACTCAGGTCCTCCCGACTCCAGGGCCGGTGCTCTATCCACTGCGCCACCTAGCTGCCATTACAAGAGAATCTTAAGGAAGTGTTCATGCTTCTGACCAGAAGTGGGCTGCACTCTTCTTCAGCGAGGAGTGAGCATTGAGTATAGAAGAGAGAGAGAAAGACGCTGTTAATTAGGCACGAGAGCTGGTTGGCCAACTCTTTTCCAGGTTACAATCTTCCTTATGTGTCACTCGTATGTTTGTTTCCTGAGGTGTTTAAACATGTTACCATGCGCCCCATGACCTGTTAATGAGGCTCTAATTTTATGCGAGGTGTGTCAGTTAATATTATATCAGCTAATTAAGCATGCGCAGTAGCAAGTTTTAGCTGTCTGGGTCAATGACCCCCAACCTTGAGCCGGATCAGTCCTTATCTTAAACTTGCATTTTTCTTGAAACTACAGCTTACTTCTTATTGGCTAAGCCCACCCGCAGTGCAACTGTTTCTTTCTACTTTGAAACAATTTGGTTATGTCATACTCCCAGCACTATCTTACCTCGGTGGAAACCTATCCCTTGCCTGACTCTCGGAGTTACTCCCAGCACTATTCTATCATTGTGGAAACTTAACCCTTACCTGACTCTCACACTCCTCATTAAGAGGAAAAAAAAAAAGAAAAACAAAACCTTTTGTAATAAATATGCATTATAAAGGAAAAACAAATTCCTACACTGGCCATGTTTAAAATATCTCACACACACATACACACACACACACACACAAGCTCACTTTTACAAGCTGAGTGCATCCTCTCTCTGTCAAGAGGTGGGTAGAATCTGCTTCAGCAATGGTCCTCTGGAATCATAGTTGGTCACTGTCAACATGAAATATAAAAGAATAAGAGCAGAGAGGGATTTATCTCTGGGCTGTTCCTATTTGAATTGCATAAAAAAAGATGAGAATATAACACTAATGTTGTTACTACTACTAGAAATGGTATTGTAACAATAAGAAAAGAGAAAGTAGGGGCATAAGTGTGGGCCAAGAGGAAAGCTCTCCTTATTTGCAAGCAATGATGGTTTACTTATAAAACCCCACAGAATCAGAAAGAATCTGAATCGATTAACAGCTTCAGTAAAGTAGCAGGATACAAAAATAAATTCATAAAAATAATCACCACTTTATATATATAGTACTAACAAAACCAAAGAGGACATCATAGAAAAAGAAATTCTATTTAATCTTGTTACTATTTAATTCATAAAACATTAGGTAATAAAATAAGGGCATGCTGGTAAATGTTTAACAAGCTGCTCTCTGGAAATGCATGACACACGTGTGAGTTTCATCTGCTTGGTTGATGTTGTTCTCCATTACTTTTTTTAAGTTCTTTGTTAATTTATTTTGATTTATCAATAATCACTTCCAGAAACTTCTGAGTTTTCAATTTTTCTTCCCTCCCTCCCCAAGACAGTGTTCAATCTGATACAGGCTATATATATGTATACACTCCTATTAAACATTTTCATGTTAGTTATGTTGTAAGGAAGAATTAGAATCAATAGAAGGAACCACAAGAAGGACACAAAACAAAACAAAACAAAAAGCAAATAGTAGGCTTCGATCTGCATTCAAATTCCATAGTTCTTTCTTTGCATGTAGGTAGCATTTTCCATCATGAGACTTTTGGAGATGTCTTAGATCCTTACA